AAATCCTATCCTCATATTGTTTGAAATCAATATGGATTGAAAAAATATTTTTCGTGTTCTAGTTATTTTAGGAGTTTGCAAAAAAATCTATAGGTCAGGTGAGACTTTGAAGTTTTGTTAAAAACTGTTGCACCAAAAGACAAAAAAAGGAAAACTGTCAATATATGAAAAAACAGAAAAAAAGTAAAATTAGTCAAGAGTGTAAGAAACAAGATGAATACAACGTAAATAAGTTATACAATTGTTGCAGATGTGTAGGATAATTTATATTTGTCATTAATAACGAAAACAATTATGTCAGTAAGAACAGAGTGAACAATAATTTTTTCGTTACTTGATATAAAGTTTGCTTTTGAAATCATCAATATATGGGGTGTTCAAAGTAAAACTATGTGGGCTTATATCTTGATAATGGATATATTGAAACTCTGTGCGTGTGGTTGTTTTTAACTCGAAGGGACGTTAAATTCAGTACATTGCTAACCTATGTTTTTTATATTGCAACGTTTATATTTTTAACGGATTTTGATGGATCATTAAATTATGATTTCAATGATGTGAAAACAATATTTACATCTATTGCATTAGTTTTAGCTGTGAAAAATGTAAATTGTACAAACGTCTTCTCATCTGAACATTTTTTTACCTAACTATTGAATTTAACATTTTTACAGAAAAGTCGCAGCTATGTGTCTTTACCACCTTTCGCATCTATCTCGAGGCCACTAAGAGTTTAAGAGGGAAGGAAAATTACCTTTTTATTATTTTCCGGAAGCCGTGTCGGCGCGCTTTGGTGAACATATGAACTTGGATAAAGAAATGTTCAGATGAGAAGACGTTTGTACAATTAAATAGGTCAAACGATTTTATGATATTCGACGCAACCAGCAATTCTTCTTTAAATCTACCTGAAGCGCTGGGATAGACGACTACCGGACGTCGGTCATAAAAACATCGTAAGCCGATAATGCAGAATAATGATAATTTATGACAGGCGGCCTATAACATACCTTCAGCACAGAATAATCATTTCTAGTATTCTTTTGACATATTAATTTTAATATTCGAGATAATTATTATATTATTCAAACACAATTTAGACACTGTAGAGCAAACAAGGCTTATCAAGCCCGTCTATTAGTTTATTCCCCTAAATGTATTATTAATACCGTTTTCAAATTATACCAAAATTGAAAAATCGAAAACTTAATAATTGAAAAATTGAAACATTTTAAATAAAAAAAATCGGTAAACCGATAAATTGAAAAATTTATAAATCGAGAAATTGAACAATCTAAAAATTAAACAATTTAAAAATCGAAGAATTGGAAAACCAAAAAATCTAAACCGAGAACTTGAAAAATCGAATAATCGAGAAATCAAAACATCAAGGAAAACAAAAAAATTAACGGAAAATCTAGAACTTAAAAATTGAAAAATTAAAATACCTATCGAAAAATTGAAAAACCGAGAAATCGAAACATCAAAAAATGGAAAAATTGAAGAACCGAAACATTGCAAAATCTCAGAACTGAAATACTGAAAAACTGAAAAATGGAAGGAAAATTGAAAAATCGAAAAAGTGAAAAAATTCAAAATTGAAATCTTGAAAAACTGAAAAATGGAAAGAAAATTGAAGAATCGGAAAAGTGAAAAAATCCAAAACTGAAACATTGAAAAATCCAGAAATCGAAAAACTGAAAAATCACAATTGAAGAAAGAATTGAAAAATCAAGAAATAGAGAAATGGGAAAATCAAAAAATCAGTTAATCGAAAAATTGAAAAATCGAAAAATTTAGAAACGTCAAAAATTGGAAACTGAAAAATAAAAAAATTTAAAAATCGTAAAGCTGAAATATCGTAAAGTCAATAAATTGAAAAACTGAAAATTTTTGAAAAAAAAAATCGTATCAAAAACTAAAAATTCAAAAAATCGAGAAATTGAACTATCAAAAAATCAAAATATTGTAATCCCAGTTAGTTGATAAATAGGAAAATTTAAAAAACAAAAATTTTAAAAATCCAAGAATTGAAACAAAAAAAATCTAAGCCTGAAAACTCAGAAAATTGAATGATCGAGAACAAAAAATCTAAAATTTAAAAATTCGACAAATTGAAAAATCATGGAACTGAAAAATCGAAAAGAAGAAAGAATTCATTAATTTTTGGGGTCATCCTGTATATGCAAATCCAAGAAACATGAATGGAATGATAAATCACAAGAAGAGACTCATCATATTTTATACAATTTAGATAGGATTTATTCAGCAAAATTTTGAGGTGACGTCATCAATTTTTTAGAGGGGATAAGTAAATATATTGTGATTAAAACGGTCCTGGTTTAGTAACAAAAAAATATTGTTCGTCTATAAAACAAGCTCGTCTTAAACAAAGTATTCGTAAAAAAAATATGTCGTAAAAAAATTTACGTATGCTGGTCCCGACTGCGATTATGGTTTAAATATTTTTTAGAAAATCCTGTCATGGATGTTGAAATATTTGTGACAGCCAAAGAGGTTTTTTTGAGAAAATTATCTTTGAATTTAAACCAAATTGAAAAAGACACTAGGCAACAGGCACATTTGGGCAAAAGAAAGAGAAATTAGGGTTACGGCTTTAAATTTTGGACGTATTTACAAACTTAGACCGACTACAGCAATAGCTAAAACTGTGGAGTCTCTGTTGTACAGGACATTTAGAGGTAATAGTCATACATACTATGGACAACAAAATGAGGAAAAAGCTGTCAAGTGTTTTGAAATAAATAAAAATATAAAAACTGAACGGTGTGGCTTGTTTATTTCAAAACAATTTCCTTACTTGGCTGCTAGTCCAGACAGGGTTCTAGAGGATAGGAGTTCATTAGTCAAAATTGAATGCCCTTCAAAATCGCAAGATTTGTCTCCCGAAGAAGCGGTTAGAAAAAAAATAATCAAATTTTGTACATTGACAGACAGAGAATTGAAACTAAAAAAAAACATGATTACTACTTTCAAGTCCAGGGACAAATGCTTGTTACGGGTATTTCACAAGTTTATTTTGTTGTATGGACACCCAAAGGAATAAATATAGAAAAAAATTATAAAGACGAAGAAATATATGTAAAAAAATGGCAGATAAACTATAGGCAGATTTTACTTTGGTGCATTATTGCTCGAAATAATTGATTCAAGAAGAAAGAGGAACCTGCCTTTGCGAGTTTTTTTTTAAATAAATAAAATTTGTTCCTATTTTTTTATGTACTTTAATAATTTATTAGGAGTACATTTTTCATCACCAAGACTTGCATATTTTTATTATAAATATATTTTGAAAATGATCTCTCCGCAAATGAAAACATATACGAACACTTTTTTCGAGTAAACAATGAAGGGAGAAGTTGCTGGGCGTAGCGCTTTTTTAAAACACCTCCTTTCTGGGATAAGTAGTTGATACACTTAACTACTTATACGTGTTAAACAAAAGCTGTATTTTATATATTTTTTATTATTATTATAAATATGTTTATTAGTTTTATTAATTAACAAAGCAAAATATATATTAACAATAATATTACAATGAATTTTTAGTAATCATGTGTATTGAATTCACGATCCTGAGTGGAGTAAAAATATTATAGTTCCCCAGTTTTAATTCGGTTTTATGATAGTACCTCATTGCGTAAAAGTTAATTTCCTTAACAATAGATTACTACTGCCGGTCCTGGTTATAAAACTGAGTTCCTTGCCATAAATTAGAAAAATCAGCCGAGAACGGTAACAATCAGCTTATGGTAGAGCAGGCGATAAGGGTTTTACCTGGAAAGTCGCTTCCGTACATTTTAGTGGCGCTCCTATCGGCAAAGTACTGAACTAACTGCCCAAATTCTGCCGAATTGATACCTATTTTTTTCAAATAATTGTTAGTTTTTATTAAAAACTCTGCTAACCAATAGATCATTAATTTTCCTCTGATATTCCTGTTAAAATTATTCGACGTATTTTGCATTAATTTGTGGTATATTTTGATTTTAATAAACACATTATTATTTAAAGAAATTGTACCACTAACAAACATTTAATGACTCTGCGCCCTGTAAAAAGTGATGTTTTATCCATGTGCGAATTTTCAAGCGATTCTATGATGGTTATGACTCAAAAAACTTGAAAAGAAAACATGCTTTTTTTACGATATTTCTCAGCCATATTTTTTTAATTGATTGAACTGGTCTCTGCGCTCTAGAATATGAAAAAAGCTGCCGTTTGATGCGTGGAAATAGTATCGGTGCAGTACTACCAAGTTAGATAAAGAAATGTTCAGATGAGAAAACTAGTAGATACAATTAAGGTCGAACATCATAAAATCGTTTGACCTGTTTAATATCTAAATTAAAATGAAGATCGAATTGCCATATTTTGTTACTGAAACAGATATGTGACACAATTACATTATTAGTGTTGGTTTTTAATCTCAGAAATCTAGGACAATTGCAAAAGAAACATTTATTACGAAAACTGAATCGGTAAGAGACCCTACTAAGTCAAAACAACGCTGTTGACAGAATCTCAATATCTCTATCTATTATTAAGATGGATTTTATCTGGGACACCTATAGATCATTAGATATGTAGGTTTCTGTATTTGAGCAATTTAATTTGTTAACAACGAAAAAAATCTATTAAATGTAGTCATAGCAGGTACTGAAGCAGTAAATTATATTTACAGAGTATACTGTAAACGATTTATTTAATTTTTTGTTTCTATCTTAAAGTATATCATAGTTTAATTAAGAATCAGGAAGGAGTTGCGTTTTTACACTGTTTCATACTTATTTATCGTAAATTGTTCCCTGTACTTGTGACTAAAGAATTATTATCATTAACTGCTGACGTCCGTCTATCAACGTAGCCAGTGTAACTTCGCATTTTTCGTCTACTCCTTCGAATGCCCCGCAAATCCCGACAAAACGTGATACTCATAGGCTAAGAATGTGGCCATTAATAAGTTTTAGGGGACTTACATGAGATGTTTGACGTTGTCCCAGCTTAAGATGCGGTCGACTTCGTGGCGACCGTGGCTGAGAACGGCGATGTGCTGTTGAGTGACAGTAACGTGTTTAATATGCGTGTAAGATTCTCTGCTCCCCTCCTGGACTGCTGCGAGCATCAGGAAACTGTCGCCATCCTGCGCGAACACCGGATGCTCGTGAATGTCGAGCCAGGCTCGTTCGGCGGCGCGCTCGGCGTGAGTCTGAAGACATTACATAATACGAACTTGGAGATGGTTGTTGTTGCAGACAAAAAGAGAAACACTTTGTCGGCAAAGCGGAACTGACTTGCCGACTTGCTGACAGTTGGTCATTTTATTTGATGTGCGAGACTACCGAAGAATAAGCTGAAAGGAGTGCACGGACATTGGCGTACTCGACAACGTGCGAGAAGCGGTCACTTATACTACGTCTTCGCTATTTGGCAACTTATGGTCGTTCCAGGCTTTAGAGTAACTATAGTTAGTTGAACGGAATTTTTATTACTGGTGCAGTTTTAGAGTAACCACCTTGATACGATTTTCTAGTCACTTCATTGTGAGTTCAGTTTAAGCTGTTTGAAAGCAAAATTAAATTTAATCGATGTTTGTGGTTGCTACATTTGCGAAATTTTAACTGTTGCTCTGTAAATATGATTTAATCGGGAGCCATTAAGGGAGAGCTTCGTCTTTATCCGGACAAACTTGTAACTTTCATGAAAATTTGATATCGAGATATTGAGATGAGACAAATTGTTCCTGATCGTTTGATCCGATAATTTCATTCAATTTTAAACAAGCAAAGTGCGCTATTTGATGTAAACCGATCAGAGGTTGCTGGCAACCACAGTGACAAGTGAAATACGTATTTACGGTCTAATAAAGTCCTGAATAGTTTTGCGAAATAAACCCTTGAACTGATACTTGGAAAACACTCAATCTCTCAGAATTTTTCTTTCCATTTAATTTTTAATATAAATATCATATTAGTAAGACCTGTCGATTTCAAAAGATATTCAGGGTGTCTCAACGATTTGATACAGAAAGGTAATTATTTATCCGAAAATGTTGAACAAATGTTTGACATGTTCAATAATTTACCTACAAATTACAATTATTTTCATCGAAGATGTGTTTTTTTGTATGAAACACCCTGTATAATTTACAGATTTAGATTTTTTACAAAAAGAACAGGGAATAAAACCATACAAGGTTTTTTATGAACACTTTTCAAGGTAGTTGTTTTTTTATGGTAAAATTGGACGTACTCACGAATTGTTGGAATTTTACAGAAAATTTTAGTCAGTTAGATTTAACGTGCGCATAAAAATTATTTTTGTGAACTGTCAGTTTTTTCATGATTTTAAATGTAGCCGCCTAGTGTGTGTTTTAATAAAAAAATCTTGTGTTTTGTTTTTAAAATATTTTTAAAAAAGCTCCAGGTTCCGTGGGGTTCTTTATTTAAAAAGAATTTTACAGAATCTTAGCGGCTTCTAGCGTCTTTTTTTTAAATATGTGATGCTTCGTTTTTGAGGGAGAAATCAAAATATTGTCAAACATGAAAAATTGAAATCGAAACAACAAAAAGTGAAAAATCTAAAATTTAAGAATTCGAAAAATTGAAAATTTTAAAAATCGAGCAATCAAAACATCAACAAATTGAAAAATCAAAAAACTGAAAAAACGAAAAATGTAAGAATTAGAAAGTCACAAAATTTTGAAAAATCGAATAAGTAAAAAATCAAAAAACAGAAAGTCGAAAAATCTAAAATTTCTAAATCGAAAAACATATTGAAAAATCCCAAAATTGAAAAATCCCAAAACTTAAACATTGAAAATTTAAGTCGAAAAATTAAAAAATCGAGAAATTGAGAAATCGAAAAATCCAAAAATTTATAAAGCCATAAATTGAAAATCGAAAAATTTAAATACATAAATCCCAAAACTAAAACGTTGAAAAATTGAAAAATCGCGAAATCGAGACATCAAAAGATCGAGAAGTGGCTTAAAATCGAAAAATGCGAAAATTCAAAATTGAAAACTTTTTTTTTCTTTTGTTTTTCAATTTTTCCATTTTTTAATATTTCGGTTTCATAATTTCTCGTTTTTGGAACTTTTTTTGTTTCTTCAATTGTTCAATAGTAGTTTTTAATTTTTTCGGTACTACAGTTTTTTTTAATTTTCCCAATTTTTAATTTTTCGGTTTTTCAAATTTTCAAGGTCTTGATTTTTATTTTTATTTTCATTTTATATCGGAATTTTTCGTTTTTCGTTTGTTCAATTCTTCAAAGCTTCGTTGTTTGATTTTCCAATTCGTCGATTTTTTAATTTTTTTTCTCGATTTTCGATCTGGAATTTTTCGTTTCGGCTTTTCATTTTCTTTATTCTTACAATTTTTCGAGTTTCCGATGTTCGGATTTTATAAAGTTTTGTTTTTTCAATTCCGATTTTTTCAATTGAAAAAAAAAATTGAAAACTCGAGAAATTTTAAATCGAAAAATTACGATATTTAAAAATTGAAAAATTTCCAAATCCAAAAATTGGAGAAATGAAAAATTCAAAAAATTAAAATCGAAAAAACAAAAAATGTAAATTTTAAACACTAAAAAACTAGGATATTTGAAAAATAAATAAAATAAACTAAAACGAAAAATTGCAAAATAAAAAATTGAAAAATAGAAAAGTTTAAAAATGAAAACAAAAAAGATTTCAAATCGAAAAATTAAGGAAATCGAAATTGAAAAAACAAGACTTATAAAATCGGAAACTTGAATAATCGAAAAACTGAGAAATTGAGAAATGGAAATCGAAAAATTGAAAAATTGGAAAATTAAAAATCGTTTATTCGAGAAATTGAGAAAACGAAAAATCCAAAGATTTAGAAACGCCAAAATTTGAAAAATCTAAAAAAGAGAAAGCAAAAAATCGAAAGATTGAAAAATCGGAACAAAAAAAAAGTGAAAAATCTAAAGTTTAAAAATTCAAAAAATTGAAAATTTTAAAAATCAAGCAATCAAACACCAACAAATCGAAAAATGAAAAAACTAAAAAAACGAAAAATGTAAGATTCACAAAATTGTGAAAAATCGAATAAGTAAAAAATCAAAAAACAGAAAGTCGAAAAAGCTAAAAATTTAAAAATCGAAATACATATCGAAAAATTCCAAAATTTAAACATTGAAAGTTTAAGTCGAAAAATTAAAAAATCGATAAACGAGAAATTGAGAAATCGAAAAATCCAAAAATTTAGAAAGCCAAAAATTGAAAATCGAAACATCGAAAAAATGAATTATTGAATTACTGAGAAATTGAAAAATCGAAAAACTGAGAAATGGAAGTGGCTAAAAATCGAAAAATGGGAAAATTCAAAATTGAAAAATTTTTGTAGATTTTTAAATATTTTTTGTGTTTTCAATACATTTAATTTTTTCAATTTTTCCATTTTTTAATATTTCGATTTCATAATTTCTCGTTTTTGGAACATTAAATTTTTCAGTTTTCAATTCCTGGACTTTTTCGTTTCTTCAATTGTTCAATTAGTAGTTTCTCAATTTTTCGGTACTACAGTTTTTCTAAATTTTTCTGAATTTTAACTTTTCGTTTTTTCAAATTTTCAAGTTCTTGATTTTTATTGTTATTTCGATTTTATATCGCAATTTTTCGTTTTTCGTTTGGTCAATTCCTCAAAGTTTCTTCTCTGATTTTCGATCTGGAATTTTTTATTTCGGTTTCTCGTTTTTTTTATTCTTACAATTTTTCGAGTTTCCTATGTTCGGATTTTATAAAGTTTTGTTTTTTCAATTTCGCTTTTTTTCAATTTTAAAATTAAAAATGGAAAACTCGAGTAATTTTAAATCGAAAAATTGCGGAATTTATAAAATTGAAAAATTTCCAAATCGAAAAATTGGACAAACAAAAACTTCAAAAAATTGAAATTGAAAAAACAACAAAATAAAAAATTGAAAAATAGAAAAGTTTAAAAATGAAAACTCGTAAACTTGAAGAAGCAAAAAAAGCTTTCAAATCGGAAAATTAAGGAAATCGAAATTGAAAAAACAAAACTATAAAATCGGAAACTCGAATGATCGAAAAACTGAGAAATCGAGAAATGCTAATCGAAAAATTGAAAAAACGCGAAATCGAAACGTCAAAAGATCGATAAGTCGAGAAGTTGAAAAATCGAAAAATCAATGTAATAGCTAAAGATAAAAAATTGGAAAAATTCAAAATTGAAAAATTTGAATTTAAAAACCCGATAAATCGAAAATTGAAAAATCGAAAAGTTGAAAAATTAAAAAATCCAGAAATCGAGAAACCGCAAAATCCAAAAATTTTGAAACGCCAAAAGTTGAAAAATAGAAAATCGAAAAATTTAAATTCATAAATCCCGAAACTGAGACGTTGAAAGATTAGAAAGTCGAAAAATTAATTCCGAAAGATTGAAAAACCGGGAAATTTAAACACGAAAAGGCGAAAAATCGAAAGAAAACCGTTAAATCGAAAATTGAAAAACCGAAAAACTGAAAATTTATTTCGAAAAATTGAAAAATCGAAAAATCTAAAAACGAGAAGGCAAAAAATTGAAAGATTGAGAAACTGAAACAGTGAAAAACCTAAAATTAAAAAGTTCGAACAATTGAAAATTTTAAAAATCGAGCAATCAAAACATCAACAAATCGAAAAATCAAAAACTGAAAAAACGAAAAATGTAAGATCTAGAAAAATCAAAACTCGAACTATGTCGTAAACTTGAAGAAACAAAAAAAGATTTCAAATCGAAAAATTAAGGAAATCGAAATTGAAAAACTAAAACTAGAAAATTATAAACTCGAATAATCGAAAAGAAGAATCATCGAAAAACTGAGAAATCTAAAAATGGAAATCGAAAAACTGAAAAAACGCGAAATCGAAACGTCAGAATATCGAGAAGTCGAAAAATCGAAAAACTAATATAACAGCTAAAGATAAAAAAATGGGAAAATTCAAAATTGAAAAATTTAAACTCGATAAATCGAAAATTGAAAAATCGAAAAACGGGAAAGCAAAAGATCGAAAAGTCGAAAAATTAAAAAATCGATTAATCAAGAAATTGAGAAATCAAAAATCCAAAAATTTTGAAACGCCGAAAGATGAAAAATTAAAAATCGAAAAATTTAAATTCATAAATCCCAAGACTGAGACGGTTGGAAAGTTGAAAAATCGAAAAATCGAAAAGACGAATTATCGAAAAACTGAGAAATCGAGAAATCGAAATCGAAAAATTGAAAAATCGCTAAATCGAAAGACCAAAAGATCGATAAGTCGAAAAATTAATTCCGAAAGACTGAAAAACCGGAAAATTTAAAAACGAAAAGGCGAAAGAAAACCGTTAAATCGAAAATTCAAAAATCGAAAAACTGAAAAATTAATTTCGAAAAATTGAAAAATCGAAAAATCTAAAAACGAGAAGGCAAACATTGAAATATTGAGAAATTGAAACAACAAAAAGTGAAAAATCTAAAATTCAAGCAATCAAAACATCAACAAATCGTAAAATCAAAAAACTTAATAATTGAAAAATGTAAGATTTAAGAAGTCGCAATATTTTGAAAAATCGGATAAGCAAAAAATGATGACATATTATGTTCCACAATTTTCTTTACTGTACGTATGACATTCCGATTAATTTCAGAATTTTGGAAAATATTTAACTAAACCTAAACACAACTAAGCTATGGGAAAAATTAAAAACAACATTTTGTTCATTATTAGTGCAGAAAATGGTCGAAAAAAGGAAGGACAATATTTTGAGAAATTTTTAATAACTTAGGGAAATGTTTAATAACTTAATAACGGGCACTGATTTCTTAAAAATTAAAAGAAATCTCGCACCAAATGAAAAAAAAAATGTTTTGAAATTGTACGTAAAAAAGCAGAAAAAAAACAACTACGTATGTCGTAAGTTGACTCCAAAACCAACATAATTGTATCTGTTTCCTTAATTTTTAAGAAAGCTCCTTATAAAAGTGTTGTGCAAGTTATACAAAGTGTCTACAGTCAACTAAAGGATAAAAAAGATTCAAACAAAATTAACAGTAAATAGTAGAACCAGTGAAAACAGAAGTGAGGATAACGGGTTATTATTTTTTTTTCTAAAGAAAATTTATAGATTTTTTAAAAAACGGTACAGTGTGCAACGCAGATGTTGGTTCTATCCACCTTCCACGCTGCTCGTTCTTGTTCACTTTAGTTGGAAAAGGTGGCACTAGGATTTTTTTTTTTAATAAACTTCCGTTACTATATATATTCTGCGCTTGAATTGTTAAAATATTAGCAACATTATTATCGTTGGAAAAAATAACTAGAGCTAAAAAAAATCTGGCTATATAGTCTTATAACTTATAACATATGCAATAATCTGTAATATTCCAAAATCCAGTTTAAATTGCACCATCATTCCAATTAAAACTCCCAAATTTTTCACGACTACTGTATTATACGAGTATTGCTGTAGCAACGTAGTCACTTCATCAATACGCAGGACTATATGTTGCAAAAGTTGGTCCAAATGGTGTAAGAACAACCGAAAAATAAAGTAAAAATATATTTCCAGAAGTATCAAACTACCGCAATAATTTTTGTCTTAAAAATACCGAAAATTTCAAAGCTCTCCAGTGCCCCTCGGGCTTATTCATGGTTACTCTAAAATTGCGCATTCAGTGTCTCGCCAGCGTGGACCCAATCCAGCGGCAATTTTTTGCGTCAAAGAAACTTATTACGAAATAAATTATTTTCCGGGTCGTTTGTGCTGACCTCTACACATGTCCAGTTGGGGGCTAGACAGGCCGAAATGATGCTGAGGTTTTGCGCTCGGTTCATCCACACCACCGATACTTGCGTGTTCTTCTGTCCGATCCACCCGGCCGATGTCAAATAGTAATCCCTGGAAATCACAGGATTAGAGCATTTACACATGTGGCCCAACCGGTGGTTGTTTGACTGACGTTTGCTAAATGGCCTAATTACTATCTGACCTACATATCTATAATTTCTGTTGATTTCCTGAATAGCACAACACTGTTTGTTCATGCCAAATGGAACGTTTTCTATGCTAACCGACCGAACTAACTAAACGGACGGACGTTCTGTTTCTAGAGTAATTACTAGTTGAGAAATTCGAATAGAAAGGGTTTAATTACGTGTGGTTATATCCTTAGACACTATAATTTTGCCGAATATGTCACAAAATAAATCTGTAAGACAAGTGAATTTTGAGGTCCGGAAGGGCGGAAGGCGGATACTTACTGTCCGGCTAAGGCATGCGGGGGTTTCACGAGGTGGCTCTGGAGGTCGGTTAGGTTTGACATATCTAGAACCCACAACTGCACTGTAGGGTTAGCCGATCCGGGCTGAAAACAAAATAATAGAAAATATTTGTTAATTTGACAATCATTAAAACGTGAATTTTGATTCATTAAAAAATTGACAAACCTGATACTACTCAAGTCTTCAAAAATGGGACTCATCGTCGGAAAAATTAGTTTAAAGTAAAATTATACGAAATTCCCGTCCAAATCTTCCATAGGAGGATAATGTTAAAGAGTTCGTCTTGTATTGTATTTGTAATATAATGTAATATTCCAAAACATTACACAATAGTTCGATTTCTTTCTGCAGCAGTACAGTTTTTGACTTTATAGGTCTAAAAGTTGATTATTTTTCGAAGCAGTTTTGCTTCTTGGTAACCAAAAATGTTACTATAATCTGTGTGTTTTTCTTGCTTTAAACGTTAGTTTGCCTTCAAGAAAATCATTAGTACCTAAACGACCGTTATTGGATTTTGTGGTGCTTGCATGGCTGTTAGGTGTTTTGCGCTGCTCTGCGTTTAACTCAGTTTTTGGTGAGAAATTTTATTTTCAAATTTGTACTAAGTATTAAATCTCAGTAGTTGACTGGTCTATTCTAAATGAGTGTACAGATCCTAATACTGCTTGTCAATCTTTTTATGACATATTGTATAGTCTCCTGGATACTTCTGTGCCTAAATACAGGCGAAAAAATTTTGTTTTCCAGTATGGTTCACGTCACAAATTATTCATGATGTACATAAGAAAAATCGTCTAAGAAAAAAAATATAAAATACGGTCATCCTTGTGATTTAGCTTCGTTTAGAAAGCTAACAAGATCAATAAAACAACAAGTGTCAAGTTATTTATTCATGATATAGAGAGCGATATTCACAGAGATTCAAAAAATTCTTTTGCCAAATATTTTCACTTATCATTTAATGTCACAGATGATAATAGTCAGTTGAATGGTTCATCAGGGAGCTTTACTAACAATGTTACAATGGCAAAGAAGAGTTCTGAACATGTTTTCAAAGTCATAAAAAGAGTAAACGCAAATCTTTTCTGCATTACTCAGTTTATTGCTGATTCCATTGATGACGGTTGTCAAACTGATGTCATTTATTTGAAGATCTTAAAAGCGTTTGACAGGTTAGAGCATGCTCTCTTGATTAATAAATTAAGTGATTTAAAAATATACCGGGTCTTTCATAAAAAAAACTGTGTGTTATGCCTTAAAAAGAGAACACCCTGTACAATTAGAAGTAATTATAGAGTATAGTCCTCAAAGAATCGTGCAGCTTTGTTTCTTTAGACTTTTTTTCTGCTTATAATAATTAATGAGACATCGAAGAATGCATGCTTAGTGACTCACCCTGTATATAATATGTGAGAAATTTACGACATTACAAAACACTAGAGTTTTGCAACTTTTAATTTTCGTTAAAACTGCGTTTAAAGAAATAGTTATATTTAAAAATTCTTAGCTCCATATTTACAGATGGTCCATTTGAATTGTACACCAAATTTTTCAGTTACCTCAACATGACATAAAAATTGAGAAAGTGTTTTAGGTTAATTATACAAAATGATTGGATTTGCAAATTGTAGGATTTCTCATTTTTGTAATTGATAAACCCTGTATCTTATAACCTATGCGAGTTATCTGTGAGTAATCTTTCTTTCATGCCCAGTTTGTTAAACTTTTTTCTAACAATGTTTTTGGATGCGTCATTAAAGTAAAGCTTACATCAACATATACAGACTGTTCCAACTGAAAAACATGAGAAAATCGTATATAAGTGAACTTAAATTTTATTCAGTTTTTTTTATAATAATCCAAAAACCATATTTTTTTTAGAAAATATTGTATTCCCTGTATGTAAATATTTACAGGTAGTTCCATTTAAAAAAACACCATTGTACTATATAATTTTTAAATGGAATACACTATATTTTATATTCTGCTATTGAAGTTCTGCTATCATATCGTTGGGACACCTTGTATATACAGAGTGAGTCACTAAGCGCGTGGTATTGGATATTTCATTAATGATTGGAAGTGGAAGAAAAACTTAAAGACAAAAGCTTTTTGAGTAGCATACATTAAAGTTATTTACACCTATATAGAGTGTTCCGTTTTTTAGGAGTAATACACTACTTAGTTTTTTTAACCACAACGCCCTATATATTTTGTCTATTCTGATTGGACCCTTTTTGGGCTCTATAACCGTGGTTAATTTTTGACATTCCGGTGCGACGTTGCCATGTTATTTCAATTTTCGTGTTTTTAGCATGCAATCCGTCGCTGTGTCTCTTAAAAAGCGAAAAATCGCAGAAGTTATCAATTTCAGATATACGGAGAATACTTAAAAAAAGAGAATAAGAACAGAATAAGGTGCTGTAATCAAATACAGGGTATTCTAATTGAAAACCTTAAATGTAGATATTTGGAAATTGTAATATTCTAGATTTTTTTAACGCTCTGTATAATTTTATTTGTATTTTTCCACAGGGTCGGTGGGCGGGGATACTGCTTGCTCACTGTTTGTCTCCATTTCACTGACTTATTTTATTTACTGTAAAATGTGAATTGAATTCTATTTTAACAAGTGGTAGAATCTAAGATTTAAAACAAAGTAAAAAGGGGCCCCTCCCACCCACCCTTACTCCGTTTTCGTGACTCGTTCTTATTGGCTCTGAAGAAAGAATTTCAGGAGTTTTCAATTTTTATTATACAATCGAAAGAAATATTGAAAAACTAAAGGAACTGTAAAAAGGAACCATTGTGATATGAAATCGAGAATATGAAAAACAAAAATCAAGAATTTGAAAAATTGAGGAAACGAAAAATTTTAAAATCGAAAAATTAAAAACGACAAACTGAAAAATCCAAAAATGAAAAAAGTGTAAAATCCAAAAATTGTGACATGGAAAATTTAAGATGGAAGAAAAGGAAAAAAGAGAATTTCCAATAAATTGATCAAAAGTAAATAGACCAAGATTTTTTTTTGATTTTGCGAATTTTATATTTAACTCCATTCGGTTTTCCAGAATCGCCAATTGAAATATAGCATTTATTTTTTTTTAATTTTAAAAAATTCGGATTTCATTTTGAATATTTCGAAAATATTGCACGCTATATTTTCGGAATCACCACGTCAAGATCTTTAACCTTGAATATGAAAAAAAAATTGGTTGAAAATTGTTTCGACACAACTTCCTTTGCAAGTCAAATAAGATATAAAAAGTAACATAATTATGTATTAATCTCGGATATTTTGAAGTGTTAAGTTCCATTTTACTAGTTTGTTGAACATATACATAACCTGATGATGACGTTAAATAAAGTCGAAACATGTCATAAAGTAACTACAACTATTTAGTCTCCTAATCATATATTACGTTCAAGAGGCGGACAAATATCCAAAACTAGTCATATTACATATTTTGTAAATTTTAAGATGGGGATCATTAAATTTTGTCAGACAAATTTTGGTTAGCCACACAATTTTAGTGAAATACGTTTAAAAATACGCAACTATCAACTTAGTAGTTTTGGAGATCACCCGTTTTATAAAATCGCCAACAGACGACAGACACACAAAGGGACCCACTTTTTCATATTCTAGGAGCTATGAAACGTCGAGAAACGAGTATTTATTACAGAACTTTCTTCGTTTACCCTCGGAATTAAAAATATTACACGAAGATTTTTTTCTAACATACAAGGTGTATGTACAACTTTTATGACTTAAGGGGCTTAAGCCAAGCCACCCTTATAAATCAAACTGGCTAGAGGAGAGGACTAATTAAGTATATATATTTTATTATTATTATTATTATTATTATTGAATATATGGGGCGAACCTACCTATCTACCTACACCATGAGATCCGCTTGTCAAACTCCGTAATATGTATCTAAAGTAGAGGAAGAATTAAAAAATAAAAATTACAACAATAATAAACAAAATAATTTTTGTTTCAATTTCCAACGTGGTGGTTTGTTTTTGTTATGTTTTTTTTTGTCACTTTATTCCCAAAGTTAAATCGCACATTTCGGTGAGTACCGTGAAACAAAACAATATCTGTATTTCATCGAGTTAACAATATTCTGTATTTTTAGAAAACGAAGACTCATGTATGGAAAAGTATCAGCATGTCGATTGACCATGGAGTCGAGGAAGAAGTTCACATGGATGTGTGTAAAACGTCGAGGCAAATCAACGTAGAATATGTGCAGGCCATAAAAATTAACAAGAAGTTTTTTATACGGTTTGATGACATCGAGCATAAAGCCAGTCCAACTGCGGACACGATCGTGGTGCGACTTGAAACCAGTGAAATATATATTTACATTTCGATTTGGAACTAAAGAAGTGAAAAACGACTTCTATTAAGCCATCACTGTAGATAGATAAAATCCCCATCAACAGTTACTAATTATTTTACAAGTAGCCAGAAAAAAAAAGTTGCCTCGGTGGGAATCTAACCCCACGCCTCCCGCTTGCCGCGCAGGTATCCTGACCACTAGACACAGTTTGATTCATAATAATTTGATTTATAGTGGATTTGTAATGAATCAATGAATAGATCATAAAAAAAAATGTTCCACCCTCAATAACACTATTCATTAATAAATAGTGTTTTTACATTAATTTCACAGACCCCTTTTTCTTTGAAAATCGTTAGCTACATGAGTTTGTATTACTATACCTTAAAAAATAGGACAGAATCCTTCAAATATCTGCTTTTTAAATCTGCCTTTAAAATTAGGGTAAAATCTTTGAAAAATGTAAATTTTTAAATATACCTTAAAAACAAGGTAAAACGCTTAAAGAAACAAAGTGTTGTGAAGGCGCCTAACAGGAAAAAAGTTTTTAATACGGCAAAATCCTTAAAATGTTGCTTTTTAGATATATCTTTGAAAACAGGGCTGTACAAACTTCTAAACAGAGTAAAATCTTTGAAAAATGTTAATTTTAAAAAGGCCGTTAAAAGCAGGGGTAAAATGGTTAAAAAACAAAGTATTCTGTGTTCTGAAAGGTACTAGTAAAAATA